ACAATAACAATGCAGTTAAAAGTGTAGAACATCGACAGTCATTTAATAAATTTTTAGAAAAGGAAATAAATTCCAGAAGTTTAAAGGGAAAAAGCAAGATTTGATTTCTAATGCAACCATACTGAGCCCATTTCAGAAAATTTGCATTTTTTGCAATAATTTTGAGTACAGTTGCAAAAATTGTGATAAAGAATGTGAGCAGAATACAGAAAGTTTAAAATGAAACGGAAAATGTCTCTTATGGCTGCGAAAAAATTTTATGGTTGGGTCATGTAAATTAAAAGAGCCCTGCTTGACATATAAGTGAAAAAACATTCTAGTTTAATTTCTGACCCCAACTGCTTTCCACATCAGACAAAGAATCGTAAAGAATTGGTGAATGATTTAAATAAATAAATAAAAAGAGATCAAAGCAGTCTTGTAATGAATCAAGACGAATTTTCTGGCATTTCAACGCACTTGAAGAAAGCAATGATTAATGACAGTAAGCTGACTGAATGTTTGATAGGTACCCAAAGTCTTTGGTAGCTTCAAAATGGAAAACTGCAACTGCCAATACAACCCCGAAGAGGGGAAAAAAAAAAAAAAAAAAATCGGAATCAGAAATGTAAATCACGCATCTGCAGCAACCTTGGATAAAGCTCAGGTTTCACTTACACAACTGCAAATTTGTTTATCGCAAATGATGAGGCTCAGCAGTATGACCTAATCATGGCAAGAGAGATTTTAAGGGATGAAACAATGGCTGATAGGAAAACAGGAGACATGTTTAACATATGCTAACATATGCTTATATGCTGAGAAACCAATGGAAATAAAAAGCAACACGATAAACTTTGTGCATACTATAACCTCATATATAAATAATGGACTGATTTTGTTTTGAAACATACACGGAAATCCGGATTCAGCAATGGAAGTAACTGATGGTACAGTCCAGTTATGAACATAGGAACACAATAACATCAGATTAAAAGGAGATTGGTGTATTAGCAGGGTAATAGATATAAGGGGCAATTGAGAATTAAAGGAAATAGACATGCCTAATATAAACAAAGATGAAGAATAAAACCATATATATTCCATTTCTCAAAATATTCCACCAATTAAGATAGACGATATAAAATTTGATGAAACAACTATAGATAGTGAGAGAACTGATCTTAAAATTATTAAATGAGTTTTCTGCTTCAAAACCAAAAATAATTCCTTAATTTAGTGTGATTAAATGAAAAGCTGGCAAGCACTCTTTGAAACCTAGCAGAACTCGTCATCGTTGTTCAAAAACAATTATCAGTCTTCATCAGCATTATCGTTAAATCACCATGTAAAAATTGAAACATTTTAAAAAACTTCTTTGAAGAACGAAACATGTATTATAAAAGAGAGGTGAATCAAAGTTATGATACACAGCATAAAGTGTTAAATTAGCCATGAAATAATCTTTGTATTTTGTTACTGCCTGAATGAAAAATTGTGATCTGTTCCTTAGAAGTTTTCATATGATTATCATCAATTAAATTTCACTGAAAACATAATAACTTTAACAACTATGGCAAGTATTTAATTTTTTTAATAAACATATCACTTCTAGCACTACTTAATAATCAGTATCATCTTCATGACTTTCAAATATTCATATATAATACGTACAACATTTTATGATTGATTCTTAGCAGTCGGCTAGACTCTTCCATGCTGTACTTAGCGTTGCCACCTCATAGCTGTCAAAATCCAGAAGAAAAAAAGATTCCGGAAGAAAAAAAAAGTTTTTTTTTTCCCCAGTCGGAACTGAAAAAATATCTGCCTCTTTAATCTCGTTTAAAAGTATTTTTTGAGCTGCAGGAGCAAGCACAATCTCACAAATACTTGTACATTTTGTTCTACCACAAGAAATTGTTTTTGGCAAAGAAGAATCTGAAAATAAGAGTGCTATAACAATTTGTGCTATCCTAGCTATTAAAAGTGTGATGATTCTTAATTCTATGCTAGACTGAGATAATTTCAATTGCTGATATATTGTCCTGTTCTTCTGAAGATTTCTTCATGAAAAAGTTTGAAACCGATAGCGAAGAATCCCTAATCAATATTAACGACTGGTGTTTCTTGCTTTGGGAATGTATAGTTAAACGTCTAACATCCTCGTACTTAATATTAATTATTTTCCGACATACTTTACATTATCCGTTAAAGTTGTCTCTCTTCATAAACTAATCAGATTGAGTTAAACACCTGTCTTGAACCAATGTCGAATATTTTGTCTTTTTTTTTTTTTTTCCCATACTTGTTTACTTGGAGAATCAGAATCGCTTTGTTTCACTAGACATTATTATGAAAGCATTTAAATAGATTCAAAACATGCACTTGTTTGTAGATAGCTAGCTAACTGCAGACTAAATGAAAGAATGACTTGAAAATGAGAGGATGAGGGAAGATGAGGGCACAAGCGCACGATGCGACACGCCGGCATGAAACCATGACTCATCCCGTAAGGTGCTTACTCAACGCTCACCGTAGATTGCTGCTGCAAAGAATATGTATTGACATAGATGTTCTTTGGCTGCTGTGCACAGTTGTATGATTTTTGATGCTCTCAATCATTTCGTCCGTGCACATTGTGTCGTTATTTTCGAGAAACTTGATATTCTGGGAGAGTAATATTTATTTTAATTTCCTTCTGGGAGCCGGGAGATTTTAATTTTCAGGACTCAATTCCAGAAGAATACTGGGAGAGGTGGGAACCCTAGCTGTACTTCCAGGAATTTGCGGCATCATAGCACCTGCAGATTCTTCTATAGCAGGCATCTTATTTGTGATGATTATTTCAGAAGTACCAGCAGTTTCATGATCGATTATGATACTAAGCAAGATATTCAAGTTGCAAGAACCAAACAGAACTTTTCTCGCTGCAAGAGAATGGAATATTTTAATTGCAAAAAACTTTACTACTGCCACATCAAAGATCTTATTTGTGCTATGAAATTGTTTTAATGATAAAGTCTTTCATACTAGCCTAATGCGATTAAGATCTACATTCTTAAGGTTCTTTTTATTTCATCTTGTTTTCATTGCTCTAAGTAAAGCTTAGCCCCTTCGCGCCGACTGTCACGTCTACGTGCCAGCAACGAACACACTCACTTCCCGGCCGACACGCAGGCGTGCCAGAGTGTTTACCCGTTCAGCCTTGAATGTCACGTATTTGTGCCAGTGTCCTGAAACGTTTTAAAAACTATAATTTTTGCCACAAGATGGCACTGTATGTCCATATGGTTTCAGATACATGTACATTAAACCTTCTACTCAAAATGAGAGAAGCATGACTCACATACACGTGTTTTTGATTATATAAACAAAAGGAGAAATAAATGTTTCCGAATGGCGTGATTTATGACGTCTCTTTAAATTCGCACGTGTAGTTGTTTATTGTAAGTAGAGAAGTTTTATTTTTGCTAAAGCGTTGGGTATTTCGGTTTGCAGTTCAGTTTTTAGAAAATAATTAGATCTTGTTAGACGTGAATTCTTTCTGTTTTTACCGTTGCAATGTCGAAGCGTCGAAAACGTTTAATAGCGCATGAAATAGCAGAAATGATGCAAAATATTTCAGATATTGATTCTGAAACAGATTCTGATAGTAGTGATAGTGATACTATGATATATTTTGATCATAAAGAATCTGGCGAATCTAATGATGATGAGGACATTTTGGACATCTGTATGCTGAGTACGTCGCCGCCATACAGATGTCCAAAAATGTACTCATCATCCATGGTCATCCTTAATTAATAGATGTCATCATCATTAATCCTTAATTAATTAATGTCCTCCAAATCACGGCAAAGTCGATTTATTAGGAAGTGCAAGGAATGTAACGTAGGACTGTGGTGTAGATCCCTGTTTTTTAAATTTTTTCATACGATAAAGAGAATTTTAAGTAATATATTAGTTTTCAGATGTATAATGTTAAAAGTCATAAAATGGTGAGTAATGAAAATAAAATAAGTAAAATATGCATTTAAACAAGAAATAAAGTAATTAAAGTATATATAAAAATATCTATAAAGCATAAGCTGTTTAAATAACTTTAGAGCATTATTAAACAATGCGTTGATACTTCGGAAATTTCATGGATTTAGGCTTAATAGCAAAAAAGCCGCCGGTCCTGGACAGACGCTCGCGTAAGACACTGCCGGCCCCTGCGATAAACGCGTGTTTGCGCTACCCGGCACGAAGGGGTTAATTATCTGGCAAATGATCAGACAGTTCCAAAAATTTCTGTGTTATAAAAGACTAACAAATTTTTATGTTATAAAAGACTGTGACTTTCTCTTCATCTTTACTTTTGATGCAATATTTGTACTTTTTCTGGTATTCCTTTTTTTTTTAGGGGGGGGGGGGTAAGACTTTCTAACAACATTTACAGCTAGCACATTCTACAGCAACCTTCCTTCTACATATAAAACCTACAAATTCAGTTTGTTAGTTTAGAAGTAGGCGTACTGCTTAGCAAATATAACCCAAGTACAATTAAACTTCTTTTTTGACAAAACTACTCATTAAAAATGAAGCTAGTACTAAAGTACATACAACAGATTGTAAGTGGTTAGTTAGTAATGGCTCCAATAATTCAGCTATCTATTATTCCAATAATTTAAATATTTTTATTATTTCAGTCATTTGTAGCCAACTGCTTATAATCAATTGCCACTGACAGGGCAAAAAAGTTATTTTCTGCCACTAGAAAACTAGACCTGATCAAGATTTTCAAAGAAATTGTTAAAGTAAATTCACCCCTGTGAATCAGTTGAAACAGTACTTATCCATAGAAATTAAAATATCTCATCAGGTATAAGAAATTATGTACGAGGTAAATGCAGGTTAAATAAAACTCATAATATGGGTGAAAATTTTTAATTTTATTACTAAAAATTATTTTATGAGAAACAATAAATTTTAAAACATGAACAGAAATGAAGTACTCTTGAAGAAAAGTAATTTTTTACCTGCTTCGGAAAGGACATTTTCTAAATCTTGTTCATTGAGTATAAACAGATCTGGCTGTAGGAAAATTTCAATAAATCTTTCCCTATTATCAATCAATAAATAAATACATAAATACCCAGAAATCAGCTTTTTACATATATAAAATAAATCAGCCATAGTTTTTGCAGGTTTACACAGATAAAAAAAGTAAAGAGCCTTAAAAAACTAAAAACCTTTCAAAGAAGACAAAATTTGGTACATGTTCTTTTTGAATATTATAATCCTCACATGGTGGAGGGGAGAGAGAATCTGGAGAGGGAAATTAGATAGCATTAATTAAACTATTTAATAAAGAGGCCATACCCTCCAGAAAGACTAAGTACATGGGAGTAAAATAAAGCATACAGAAAAAATACATAAGACCTTATTTGAATTTTATTTTCAGTCGCTTAACATTTAGAACATGAGATAACACTGCCCAGTTCAAATGCCATCTTTGATTAAACTGGTATTTAACTGCAGCATCAAGTAAGATTACAATGGCAAACAGAACAGAAATAGCATTTGTAGAGAATTTTCTGGCATTAAAAACTAAAGTCATGACACAGAAAATAAAACAGAAGAACAAAGACATTTTTTTTTAAAGTTAATTCAAAGCTTCATAATGGTGTTTTTGTTAAGAGCTAGTAATATAATAAATCCAACTCCATAAGACAAAATACAATGACAAAATTTGATAAGCATTTTATTTAAGAAACATCTCTACTTTTCTACTTGGGGGTTGCTATAAAAGGTGTATTTTTAATATTCTAAAATAAACAGTTCCTCAATTCTTCAAAACACTTCATCATTTATCCCTGTTTCTCTCTGCAATATTTCTCCTTTGCACTGAAATTATTTACTTGCATACAAATGTATTTGAAAAATAAAATGATACTGTATTCAATACACCTTCATTAAATAATTTTTTTAAATATGAGTATGTTTTAGTTCATTATCTATGTGCAAACAATCCAGATTTAACGTAAAAATTTGAAGAAAAAAATGTAAACAAAACTCAAGAAAACATGACCTGTAATAAAAAAAAAAAAAAAAAACACTCTGATATGTACAATCTTTTATTCCAACAAGTATACATTATTAGAATTGCATAATACTAAGCTTTTACAAAATCTATGTGTTTATGTCAATTCATGCCACTTCAGCATTTTGGGCTTAGCATTTGGTGCAAAATCAAGAATAGTGCAGCATTTTAAGCTAATACAGCACACCCCTTTATTTTCAAACAGCAATCACATAATTTAAAATGATGTGCAGATGCACACTCACAGCACTTTGCAACATGGTAACTGTTCTTAGTCAGAACACACACTTGAACCATGGAAGTGTGACTGATGAAAATAGGTAGATTGTGAGAAGCAAAGTACGGAAGACAATTTTAACGAAGTGTAATTTTGAAAATAAGGGAGATTTCAACACTTTACAACCACCATTCCCTGCTCATATAATTCAGCTGCCTAGTAGAATGTCACAGAGGAAAACATTTCCCAGAATTTGAGTTATAGTCTATAACCTGAGAACAAATTTAAGGTTATGTACCAATGACCAACAGTTTCCCTTCACATTCTATTGTAAAGTACAGGATGACACTAAATTGGCAGATACAATGATATGACCAGGTTGATAACCTGGTCTTGTAGACTTTCATCTAATGAATAAATTAAAAGATTTATAACTGTAAAAATATTACAGGAGTTTATAGAGATGAATAAGGATGGACAGTGATACTGAAATGATAAATTAAACTGCAGTTTTAGTCAGTAAAGAAAAAGGTGCACAACAAAGGAAGGATTTAAGAATCTAATTGTAATTTTGATCAAACTGAAATCTTGATTTATTAAGTTTCCATGGGACCTGGGAAATAGTTACACACTGTAGGTAAATAGCATATTTTGCTTTCAACATGAATATGCTACAGCAAAAAATTACTTTTTAACAAAAAACTGCACACTGTATTTTGCTTGAGTGAAAATTGACTTAATTGAAAATTAAAGACTTTGAGATTTTAAATGTTTTCACAATTTGCACTGCTTTTATTCTACAATAAAAGCAATGCAAAAATAAAATCAAAGTATAAATAAAATGTTTCAACTTTCAGTAATTTAAAAAAAGTGTCAACTTTCAATCATTAAAAAAAAAAAAAAAAAAAAAAAAAAAAAACTCCAAGTTTCATAAGTCTTTGAAGCTCAGCCAGAGCTTAAATTTTAAAGATATATCTTACTTCTCATCAGACAGCACAGAAGCCGACAGTAAGAATGCTCTGGCACTTTTTTTATGAAACAATTTCCACAGCAAATTCTTTTACCTCCTAAAATTACATTTTAATTATAAGTCTTAAAATTTGATTCTAGCTTTTTAAATCAAGCCTGTCTCTGCTTGGAAAACAAACCTTCAGACACAGGATGAGATTCTTAAGGGGGGGAAAAGGCCATCCACATTTTGAAACATTATTCTTTAAGAAGTGTAATAAATTAAAGGGAGATTGTTTGAAAACAGGTAATTTTTTTTGGTTTCTGAAAGAATTTAAAGGTTATCAATCTGGTCATGCCAATGCATCTGCTAATTTGATGCCTGCATTTCTAATTTACTGTAGAACAGGAAGTGGAACCACTGATCTCTTGTACAGAACCTTGTATGTGCTCAGTTTATACATCATAACTAAGATTCTCTAAGTGCTTTCCTCTGTTAAATTCTACTTAGAAATTATTATGCATGCAGGCAGTTGTGGTCATAAAGTGTTGAACTCTTCTTTGTTTTAAAAACTACACTTCTACATTAAAATTTTCTACCACACTTTAATGCTGTTTTTCGCAATCTATCTATAAGTCATGTTTTAACTACCTTATCTTTTTTCACTGATGCACTGGAAAAAGAGTGATCTTTATTTTATCATCCCTTGGAAGAGCCCATTATACTGTGTACCAAGACTTAAAATTCATTCAGGACCAGGCTCCATAATTTTTCAGTTATTGAGTGAACTTGCATAATGCAGAAATGTGCTTAAATTCCTTGTAACTAAGCTCTTGAGTGAATTGATAACACTTCATCATTTTTCAACAATTTGGGCCTAGCATTTGGTGCAAAACTGAGAACACTGTAACATGATGAGCTAATATGGCACACCACAATTTTTTTAAACAGTTCCAGCAGAATTCCAAATAAGATGAGGTTCAATATATTATTTTTATCATTAAATTAATTACTAATTATATTAGTTATTTTATCTATTTATTTTTGTTCATCTTTCCTGAAAGCTTTCCACAGGACTCCAGCAGTTCTAATTTTAGAAACTTAACCCTGAGCTTGACATTATCTCTTCTTCACTTTTATGTTTTTCTTGTAAACTCCTAGTAGACCCAAAACGAAAATTAATCCTGAAACCCTTAAACTATCAGATGTAAACTTGTTGCAATTTCCAATGAAACAGCATTTAAAAATTTTATCAACAATGCTAATATCAAGATGAGGACCATATGCAAAGCATTACTGCATAGCTAGATTTACAGTCCAAAGAGAAGGTAATGTAAATAATAATATTTGATTCCGATGTTGAAATTTCTGTTTTGAATCTGAAACACATACAAATTTTTTTTTATTCAAAATAACTGTGTGTGTGTGATTATGGCAAAACCTCGGGGGCTATCTGCCTAAGGGAAGGGATGCATTCGTGGAGGACTTTCTAAGGAAAGTGGCTCGTATACACATTACGTACAGGGAAAACCACGAAAACTCCCATGCAGCCAAACCCGTTCGCGGGATTCGAACCTCAGACTGAACTACCAGTGTTTCAGATAAAGTGCCAAGAATTCCCATTTCCATGAGAAATGCTGATAACCCTCATTTCTTGAAACCTTTTGAAATACTGGTAGCATAAACAGAAAAATTACACATTACCTGTATAATTACTCCATATGTTAACAATTTATCAACTTCGATTGAGTAGCATCTTCTTCATGCAAATCAAAATTATCATACAGCATCTCCACCTACCACAGATACTGGAAGGGAGGAATCATCAATTGAAAAAGTCAAAAGTCCTACTGATTTATTTATTCCAGAAGAAGAAAAAAATTTAATCATAAATTGTATTCAGGTTCAAAGTGCAAATGAGGATGAATTAAATGTAGGTCAATGCTCAAGCCAGCATTTTTGAAAAACAAAGATAAAGTGCAAGATGTAACGCAACATTTTTGAAGATGTAGAAAGAAAGAAGAATGGATATTCTTTAATGAATAATTTGATTTATCATACTGAAAAGATTTCCAGAGACCAGATTAGTCAATTAGTAGTGCCAAAGGTCAGAAAAGATAAAATTTTTTAATTAGCACACAAATCTATTTTTGTAAATCATTTAGGGATGAGAAAAACAAAAGAAAGAATTTATTACTCATTTTATTGGCCAAATTTGACATGAGATATAGAAGAATATTGCAGCTAGGAAAAGAGACTTGTAAGGAATGTCAGTTACACAGCAGGGAAAGAGCCAGAAACTGTATGCCCAAAGTTTCCAAATCAGAAGCCTGAATTTCCATTTGACAGAGTAAATATTGATATAATTGGTCCAAATGAACCTCTATCAGCATGTAAGCACATATGCATACTGTGTTGAGTACATACAAATACTTTAGGTGGCTAGAGGCGATCCCTTTGAAAACAATATTATCGACATGTGGTGCATTAGTGTAGATCTTTAAGAGAGTGGGCTCATGTAATAGCTAGCAATCAAGGCACCAATTTTAATAGCAGAAATAATATAAGAAGTTAATGCTATGTTGGAAGCAAGTCCTAATTCATGATGCCAGGGCATCCACAAAGTTCTGGAAAAGTCCAAAGCACAACCAAGTTCTAAAGCATATGCTACATCATTTCATTTAAAATGACTCTAGAAATTGGGATGAACACATCCCACCCCTGTTATTTACTTATAGAGAGATCCCAAATTGTGCTACCAGAGTATCACCATTTAAATTCATGTATAGAACAGAAGCAGTATTAACCCTCTCACTACATACTTTTTTTTTATCAAAATAGGTTCAAAAATTG